TCTAAAAACAGGAACAGATTTGGTGCCAAATTCTTTTTCATTCTATAAGTAATATATTTCTCAAGATTAAAAAAACCGTAGGAAGAGACAGATGTGTTCATTTAAGATAGATTCCAGTTACACAGTGAAATTTAATGCAAATTTAAATACAGATGTTATTCTAATCAACTATGTACCAATAACTGTGATAACTAACTGTGCCAACTTGAATAAGAACAGCCAGCTAAGTTGGATCAGCATAGTTCTGGTGTGGCTGAAGGGATCTGCGTATGAGCATTACCAAATAATAGACTTATTGCCTGAATGGTATAACAGGGAAATGAAGAAGGCAGCCTCTCTTCTGTCTCTTCAGAGGAGATGCAGTCTTCACTTTCACCTTGGACATCATCTTCCGGCTTCCAGCACAGACCCTTCAGCCTCCTGATATGGATTTCTATGGGACACTACAGGGAGCTCCAGGCCTTCCACTGTACCCTTTGGATCTCCAGCATACAGACAGTCCTTTTGTACTTTTCCACACTGACCCTGCAGGCAGCCACTGTAAGCCAATCATGTAAATTCTTATGTATTTGTATATCTCACATTAAGTCTGTTTCTCTAGTAAGCACTGTTAACAGATTTTGGTGCTGGGAATGGCTCTAGAGAAACAGAATTGTAAAAATGAAATCTTCAATGGCTTTAGTGCAGTGGCAGTGAACCTTTTAGAGCTTTCAGTGCTACAAACAGCCTGGTGCGGCACACGTGTGTAGGTTCACCACTGCTGTAGCCATTCCTGGAGTTGGCTAATTTGACTGAGACCTAAAGGTGAAGAGTCTCTCCTCCTCATACTATGGGGAATACTCAGAATCTTTGAAGTGAATTGTTTAAAGTAATAATGCAATGTAGATCCATTTGATTATCCTAATTTACCACTTGTGAGATGAAAGGAATTTATCAACTCCATATATGATACTTTTGAATATTTTTGGCAGAGTGGAAAATATGATGCTGGCTGGTTGCTCTTAGCATCTCTAGACAAACTACTGAAGGAAAACAAGGAGCTCAAAACATCCATGAGAAATCTAAAGTCTTCTGTGAGGACAAATAAAGGAAAATAAGGAGCTCAAAGATTCAAATTCCCAGCTCCAGACACACAAAGAATTTAAAAGCCTCTATGTGTATCCTGAAAGAGAATCTGCTTCTCTACAGCCACAGGACTGAGACTTAAGAAACTCAAACACAGCCCCTCATAATTTGATTGCCTGAAATACAGGCTGGAGATTTAGCTCAGTGGTTCTGCTGCCTGCTTCACAAGTGTGAAGGTCCCAACTTTCAACCCCCAGTACCAAAAAAAGAAAGAAAGAAAAAAGAAAAGAATGGGACCCCATAACTAGGATGGAGATGTTTAGGGTGATCCTGACAAGGCTGAATGAAGATGTTGAGCTCCTAGAACCTAATGAGATTATTTTGCAGAGGAAGAAATTTTTCAACCCACAGTGGTGGAGAGGTGTTCTCCCCCACCCATCCCATGGTGTTAGCCTCTCCTACTACACCTGAGGAGACTAATCCTATAATGACCAAGCATGATAATACCGACACTCCTCAGGACTTACCCTCACCACCTATTTTTCCCTTGGACTAAGGAACACATTTTACAGCCAAAGGAGTGAGGCAATCAGCTGGATTGATAGAAAGAAGGAATGGCAATTTTTTTTTTTTTTTTTTTTTTGTACCAGGGATTGAATTCCAGACCATGCACTTGTGAGGCAGGTGGAGGCACCACTGAGCTAAATCTCCAACCTGGAATGGTCCTTTGAAGACATAGCATCAGCTAGGTGACAATAGCTTGCAGGGCTGCAGCAAGGTTCTTCAAAAGGCTGTATATATGCTTTACATCAGCATCCACTATGAAGTGCTGTGTCTCCCATAGCCAGGATTCTCAGGTCCAGGAATCAAGGGTTGAAAGTGAGAACGCTAACAATCACTATTATTTCTAGCGATCCACTAGCAAAATTTTTGCTTCCTGTTCCCTCCACCTTGTCCTCTGCTGGCTGAGAAGTCTTAGTTCCAGAGGGAAGAAGGCTTGTACCAGAAAGCACAATACCTATGAACACGAAGCTAAAACTTCCCCCTGGTCATTCATTACCCCTGGTAATTTCAGTCTTCTGAGTACACAAGCTAAAAGGGGAGTCACAGTGCTGGCAGAAGTGACTGACCCAGACTAACAAGGGGAAACTTGACTATTATTCCACTATGGAGGAAAGGAAGAATATATTTGCAGTGCAAGAGATCCCTTGGAGCGCTGACTAATAACACCATGCCCTGTTACTAAGGTCAGTGAGAAACTACAACACATTCCAGGCAAGAAGACAAATGGTCCAGAACTTTCAGGAATGAAGGTGTGTCACCCCTCCGGGAAAGAACCAAGATCTGCTGAGGTCCTTGCTAAAGGCCAAGGGAATACAAAACGTGCAATAGAAAAAGGTAGTTCTAAATGTCAACTATGACCCCCATGATCAGTTATAGAAACAAAAGTGTAATAGTTCTCTCCTATAATACACTTCTTACGTAATGAAACATTAAAAGACTTAGGATTTGTTCTTAAATATTGTTAAACCTAGGCCATAATAGTCAAGTCACCCAAAGAAAACTTGCTTTCTATTCTGGGAGGGAATTAGTACATTTCCATTTGTATGCACGATAATTGTAAAATGTTAGGTATAATTATGAACTTGTCTTTGTACCTGGTGACTATGGTTTAAGGAAGTGTGTCTGGTTGTTGAACTGACAGGGGGAGCACTGTGAAACTGTAGTTAACTGGTTTTATCAACTTGAGTAAGAATTACCTGACTAAAATCGATCAGTAGAGTTTGGTGTGGCTGAAGGGATTTAGTGAAGACAAGAAGACTCACTCTAGGTGTCAGTGATACCAATCACTAGGCGTGTCATAAAAGGGAATCAAATAAGGAAAACTTGCTTCTGTTTCTTCAGAGGAGCTCCAGTCTTCACCTTTGCCTTGACATCATCTCCTGGCTCCAGCGCAGACCCTTCAGCCTTCTGATTTGGACTCACACGAGACACTAGAGTGAGCTCCAGAACTTCAACTGGATATCTTCAGGTCTCCAGCGCATAGACAGAGCTTCTGTACTTTTCCATACCTGACTCTGCGGGTGGCCACTGTAAGCCAAACTTATCAATTCTTATATATTGAAGATCTTGCATTTAATCTGTTTCTCTAGTAAGCACTGACTGACGCATAATTGTAAAATAACAAATCAGAAGACATTTTCAATAATTACATCCTTGAGATCACTTGAAAAACATTAACTTCAATTTATATTATTGGGGTAAATTTTGAAAAAATAACTGTTAAAAGATTTAAAACATAAATATATACACTATAAGAATAAAATTCAAGGACAGTAACAGAAAAAATATACAAGTTCAATGAAAAATAATTAAAATTTCCAACCATTTAGGAGGGTTGTTTTTATATTTCAAATTAACAATAATGTTTAGATTCTATTAGGTAAATTTAAAAAGTGATATACCCAATTAATATGCCAAAAATTTGATATTTCTCGTAACTGTTTAAACTTTTGGTTAAATAATGTTGGTAAACTTTAGCTCAGATATTGCAGCTTTTGATTTAAATACATGCTAAGGCATACTCAGATTTTGCCAAGTGCTGTAGGGGACATTTGAATAAAACACTTGGTGACTGTTGTTCTATACAGCAAACTTAGTTACAAGTCATCTATGTACTATACGTGAAGATTACATTAACAGAACAGAAAAAATAGGAAACTCCAATGCTGGCCTCTCTCGTGAAGATTACATTAACAGAACAGAAAAAATAGGAAACTCCAATGCTGGCCTCTCTCAACAAACTGAAGGATGCACTTTTTCTGGGTACTCCTACCACTAGTACGATAAGTAACAGATAGCAAGTTTTAATATTTGTTCACATAGGGGGTTGGATGAATGGAATGAATGGTGAATACATGTCAAGTTATATCAAATTTGACACTGGGAAATTATAAGCTAATGTATTTCTATTAGCAATTAACCACAAATCACATAATTCAGAGATAGCCAGACACCAAGACTCTTAAATTATAAAAGGGAAGCTTTAGTCTATTTAAAAGCTTTAGCCAGACATGGTAGGGCACGTTTGTAATCTCAGCACTTGGAAGGCTAAAGCAGGGTGATTGCTATGAGTTCAAGGCCAGCCTGAACTACATAGTGAAACTCTGACGCAAAAAAAAAAAAAAAAAAAATCCTGATTTGTATGTTAGGCAATAGATGAGATTAAAACAGTAAACAAACACAGTACTGTTTTTTTACTTTTTCAAGAAATAAAACTGATAAATGAATGGACATGAGAGTCTGGCAAAGGAGGCAAATTTCAAATACTGCCATATTAGTATAAGTGAAATTTCATATTAATAAATGAAATTAAGATTCAAAGCTTTCACTAAAGTCAAATTTTTATGAACAAAACATAAGTTTCAAAAAATACTAAATCTTCCAAATAGTAAATTCTAGTTCTTTTGCAAATCAATATTTTTCTAAGATCCTCAGTAATTCTCTAATTTTGTCATCCAAGATGGAACAACTCCACCTGCCTGACCCATACAGTTCTTACATTTCACATCAACAGGCGTAATGTCTCTAGAAATCATTCTTACCTTCCAAGTGATTTTGCCAGCAGTTATGAAAAAGTTAAGAGGTGACACATGTACTGCCTCCTGGGCACACTTTTAAATTATACTTGAATTATTATAAATTAAGTATACTTTTATGAATTGCTGCAAAGCCAATTTAAAATAGTGTGAAAGGCTGGGAGTATTCCATATTTTCATAGTTTTATTGAAATATAATAGGCATAAATTACAGGTACTGACAATGTATAATTTGGTAAATTTTGACATGTATACAAATTTAACTGTTGAGAATCATGCTCCCCGCTTCTGCTAAAATATTTCATAGGACTTTTGTTATCTGAGAAAAGTACTTACTTTCATATAATTCACAATCTTAGCAAGAACACCAAACTTATATCCAGAGCTTCCTGATAGAGCTTTGAAGTTAAATGATCCGTTGCTATGATCTGGAAATTAAGTTTAAAAGAGACAATTATAACAATTTCGTATTATATGTTATGACATTTAAAAGGAAAGTGATTTGAAATTAGAGAAATATTTGAGTTTTTCATCTAATAAATTCTATCCTATAAAATTTTGGTGAACCACAAAATCTGAGTATATATTAAATTATTTTCTCACTAAGGGTAGAAACAAAGTAAAAAATAATTCTAAACCATTAAATTATAGTTTTTATGAGTAGTTTTATCTATCTTACTATTACCTTAAACTTCATTAGATTTTGCCCATATACACAGACACGGGAACATTACAAACCTCAATATGATCCAAAAGTTTTTCTAAGACTTAAAAACACTAGAAATGAGTAATTTCTCTGAGACTTTTTAGCAAAGTCAGAGAGAGAAAGACAGCAAGCGAGGGTTAGAGAGAGACAGCAAGAGCAAGGGAAAAGCCTTTTTTTTTTTTTTGGTCCTGGGGATTGAACTCAGGACCTTGAGCTTACAAGGCCACTCTCTGCCACTGAACTAAATCCCCAGACCGAGAGACTGACTTTTAAAAAAGATAATTTATTTCTAAACATCTATCATTTTGTTGTATGCAAAAACTCTAATGCCATGATTGCATCACAAACACATTCCATTATTCATAGGCAAGAACAGCAAAAAAATTAATCAAAAATACTAAAAATTTAGCTCAGCAGTTCGGTGGCCTGCCGAGTTCAATCCCCCGTACCAAAAAATAAATAAATAAATAAACAAATAAATAAATAAATAAATAAAACCTTAGAAGTATATATTCCATCAGCAAGGCACCAGCTCAGATACTATAAATTTCCCATGTGGTTGATCCACAAAGATAAAGGCTAAATAAAAGGGGAAGAAGAGCCAATCTCCAGCATCAATTTGGTAATAACAATTTAAACAAAAGACTGCATTAGAACTTCCACAAGTCAAATGTAACGACTGTCAGAGATCCAAAAGAACAGCTTCTAGATGCAACATAATACTCCTTTGAGATTAATTAGTAAAAAGTCTTTATTGAATATGCTTTGTCACTAAAATGAAACTTTATATGTAACTTTCATAAATAACTTTTTTGCTGGATCTGGTGGTACAAGACCCTATATCCACCACTCAGCAGATAGGCAGAAGGGTACCCTCCAACTAGAGGTCAGCCTGGGCTACACAGTAAGTTCAAGGACAGCCTGAACTAGAGCGGAGACCCTGTCTCAGGAAAAACAACAACAACAACAAAAAAAAAAAGCAAAAAAACACTTTCTTATAGTTTTAACAAATAACTTACACACAGAAGTCTACTCTTTCTAAAAATAAAAATATTAGGACAGTATTAGGACTATAAATATTCTTTTGCAGCCACTATTTCAATTACAAATATTACCTACATTGTTCAGTTTTCCAAGGTATTCGGGACGCAAACAACAATATTTATTGAATATTGAACCTTTATTATTTGCCATATGTAAGGGTAAATTGTTTTCACATTTAATCTCTCCCTAAAACCCTGTAAGTATTACTGTCTTCTTTTAAAGTAAGAAAACTGAGGGTAGTAAGTGACCAAATACAGACTGTAAACCCTGTGATACTGCCTTGTATAAGAGCTATTAACTAGCCTTCACACAGTATTACATTTGAAACCAGCTATGTTGCCAGAGTACAGAAATTTTAAATGTGCATTTTATATTTACTTGTTTAATTCAATAAAATACTATTAAGCCTATCCTACACTCCTGTATAAATAACTAATTGGAGCTGGGTGTGGTGGTGTGCACCTGTAATCCCAACACTTAGGAGGCTGAGACAGAAGGAGCATCATGAGGAAAGCCAGCCTGAGCTTCATAATGAGTTCAAGGTCAGCCTGAACTACACAATGAGACTCTTGTCTCAAAAAAAACAACCGGAAATACTATGAAAAGGAGACAATATATATTTTTAAAAATACTATACAAGCCGGGCATGGTGGTGCATGCCTGTAATCCCAGCACTCGGAGACAAGACACAGGCAGGAGGATCACTGTGAGTTCAAGACCAGCCTGGGCTACATAGTGAGTTCCAGGTCAGTCTCAACTACACAGTGAGACCCTGTCTTAAAAAACCCACACTATACAAAGAATCAATCACAAACCACAGTTTTGTTTTTCATGGGGTCTCCAGCTCTTAATTCAATGCCTACCATAGTCAACACTCAAGAAATGTTTATTGAATGAATGAATGTAATAAAGATATTTCCATGTGCCCCTTTATGGCCCCCAAAACTAATCTAATTTATCTACAATTTTAAAAAAACAAGTGTACATAGCAAGGATATATGCAGTTGACTGGTGTCTTAACAGACATATCCCTAATTAAAAAACTGATCCTGTTATGTTTAAGCCAAACCATGAACAATACAACATAATTAAAAGCATTCTCTCTGAACTGGAGATAACTGCCATTTAAAAAGCATAGGCTGCCATAGATTGCTTTTTAAATGAAGACCTGTGTTTACCCACATGAACTCTCTTCCAACTTGAAAAGCTGAAAACCTTACTTCTTTTCCCTCAGAACTGCTTCTAAATCTAATCATCACATGGAAATAATCACTTCCAGACAGCAAGCTTTACATATGGACAAGTACTGACAGAAAACTAAAGAAAATGAAATTTCTGATGAGATATTATAGACTTCCTGGAGCAAATACTGAACCGGTTAACCACACCATTGTTTCCTAGGTCACTACCTCTCCCCATATTATCTTCTAGCTCCAACACTGAAATACTGAAGAATGTGAAATTTTAGAGGTAAACACTAAGGAATCATCAATTTGCTAGTAACTCCCAACAGAAATGTAGCCTAAGGATTAAAAAAGAAAAGAAAAAGGGTGACAGTTGATATCCCAGACAGCTGTATTGAGGTTTATGAATGATTTACTCTTCAGGGTGGCAGGATTTAATGCAAATGAACGTGGAGGAAAACTCGGCTGCACTGTGATCCAACCAATAGAAGCACAGCTCCATCTTGGCTGTGCACTAGACTGCATTACAAACAGACGATACCATCGCTTCAGCAGCATCCTTTCAGACCAGAGGTAGGTTTATACCATCTTTTTTACTTGTAATCCATGTCCTTATGATACAATAGAAAAATATTTTAGCATGAAAATCAACCAGAAAGCTTTGTTCCTTCTAAACACCCGCAAAAGCAATTATTCATTCCAATGCTTGGTAGGATTTTATTATGAAAATCTGAAGACTGCCTTGTGCTATTTGATAGGCACCCTTACCATCTGTGCCTTAATGGAAAATTCATTACATTTTATATGAACGCAATCTATATACAGACTTTAAATAAACCAAAAACATTTGCTGTTAACTAGCCAGTTGCTAATTTCAGTTTCCCATAGCAATTTCATTTCAGCAGTTTGGTCTGTCTTAACAAAGGATTTTTCTCAAAGAAAAATCTAGACTAAAAGCAATTCTTGGGCTAAAGCTTTCTGACTGTATCTGCAAATTATCTTGGCTGATAAAAAGGCAGCCACTCACCAGAAAGTTTGCTGTATTTTAACAAATATGAAAAAATAGTTCAAAATTATTTTTATTTGACTTTGAATAGATGCAGAGAATGCCAAGAAATATCAATTTGATTTTTATACAAAAATTAAGACCATAAAATATATTATGTGAGCTGTATTATACAATAACCAGAGATAATTTAGAGCTTCAGACTTCCCTAACATTTTAAAGAAATTCCTCACAGTGAAATTTATCTTACTGTAATATATGTCATGCTATGATTAAATAAAAACATTTCAGATAGCCTTTCACTTTTGATGAGCAACAATATCAACGTATTTAAATATAATATTGAAGTTATTCTTATACTGATCCTCATAACAAATACAAAGGAAGTCTTTCTGATGAACTACATTTTAAAATAAAAATATCCTAAGAACTGGTTGAGGAACAAGGCTAAAAAAGATAATTTTTCATGGCTCAGAGAAATAATGTCTATTAAATATTAGTATAAATCACGGACCATATTTCTAGTTTTATAGCATGCAAACATGAAAATATCACTATTTAGGGCTGGAGATTTAGTTCAGTGGCACTGCACCTGCCTCACAATTGCAAGGGTCAATCCCCAAGGGGAAAAAAAAAACACTATTAGTAGATGCCACAGCTCCATAATGATCACACATACTGACCTAAAGATCCAACTTCTACCCTCTATCTTGATAAGTATATTTAATAATTAAAGACTTTTCTCATAAATTCTGTTCCTTTTCTTAGTCAGCATTTAGCTAACATGAGTACACTACCCCTTACAAAACCCAAAGGTTCTTATAACAGATATTTGATCTCCCAGGTTCTATATAATGGGGTTAATTACCTAGCAACAATTACAATTTGCTATACAAAGTATGGGAGGCAAAAACAAAGGGTCCCAGACAGCATAATTTTGTCTAATAAAATAGTTAACTTAAAACTTAAACTTTGGGTAAACTTTTAAACTGAACTTCAACTACCCACATTGTTTGAACACTCACATCAGTTTACATGTAACTGCAATTTACCTACTGTTAGCATGGGTCAAGGCTAACTACTGCTGTACCAAACTAGGTAAGATTAGGAGGGTAGCTCAGTGGTAGAGCACTTGCCTTTTGCAGGTGCAAAGCCCTGTTCTATCAGAGGTTTAAAAAATAAGAAATTAAAAAAATAGAAAAACACGTAGAGGCATGGCCTATCTCAGAGTTCCAGAGCTTAAACTGATCTACATTTAAGTTATGATTAATAGATCATTTCAAATGATATGCTTAAAAGTACCAAAGACTTCAAGGGTTTTAAGCATAAACAGAGCTAAAGCATAATTTAATTTTGATCTGGCACTCCAAGTTTCCAAAACAGTTCATCCTATCCCCATAAATATTTCACTGGGGCCTCCTGAATAGGAGGAAAAATAGATGAAGGACATACACAAAAAATAACATAAAATATAAACCAAAAACATACACAAAAAATGTTATTTGCTTTAAATTCTCTATTCCTATGAAATTTTTTGAAAGGAAGACCCCAAATACTTATTTCTTACCATTTCTCTTGCTTTTCATAATGCATGTTTACATTTGCTTGATATTTACATTTTAGTTTCAAAACACATCTCAAATGGGAGAATATTCTAACGGTACATTTCTTTTTACATGCCTAACCCATTAAAGGAATAGTTTGTGTGTTTTGTTTTTTGTTAGTACTGGCAGTTGAACTCAGGGCCTTCACAGTGAGCTACATCCCTATTCCTTTTTTCATTTTATTTTTATTGTGAGTCAGGATCTGGCTAAAGTGTGCAGAATCTGGACTAGAACTTGTGATCCTCCTGCTTCAACCTTCCAAAGTGCTGGGATTATAGGCATGTAATCCTGTAAGTCAACAGTCTTCATCTTATATTTCACACAAAAAATTATTAATGTAGAATATATGATCCTGAATTGAAAGTGCAAAATGGTAGAATACTATGGGGTTTGCTTTTTTTTTTTTTTTCAGATGAACTGAGAAGCTACCTAAAGTGGCTCATCGGTTATCAATACACTCAAAAGTGGCAAACCATAATTTACAATATAAACCTGATATATATACACTCTGTGCTAAATGGCTTGGAAATTTCCAGCAAAGCATAGAAGATATATACACTCTGTGCTAAATGGCTTGGAAATTTCCAGCAAAGCATAGACATACTTCTAGAGTTGGCAAACACTCTTATCCCAATGTAACTGCAAGAATAGTTTTACGCATTTCTATGTGTGAATAAAGTACAAAGTCTATAAACAAAATGAGTGCTATGGAGCTGGGTATGCAGCTCAGTTGTACCATACTTAACATGTGCAAGGCCCTGGGTTTAATCCTAAGTACACACACACAAAAAAAGTTTACTAATTCTAATTTTCTATAATTGAAATACAACACACAATAAAGTTTTAAAAGCTTAAAGTAAGGGGGCCAGGGATTTAGCTCAGTGGCACCGTGCCTGCCTTGCAAGCACAAGGACCTGAGTTGGATCCCTGGCACCCCCCCCCCAAAGACTATAGGCAAGGAACAGCATTTTTTCCTCTTTTAAAATACGTTGTTTTGGCTTTAAATAAGCAACAAATTTTGTAAATATAAGCACACTGTCTTGTACCTTGTTCTTTTCTTCGGGGGGTGCCAGGGTTCCAATTCAGGACCTTGCACTTATGAGGCAGGCGCTGTGCCACTGAGCTAAATCCCTGGCCCTTGTATCTTGTTCTTTTCACTTAACAGGACCCAGAAATCTTTCCATATCACTACAGAATCATCTATGATTCTGTGTGGAAAGACCATCAACTTAAAGAAGAGTTCATGGATGGTACAAGTTAACCTCAAATAACTTAAACTAGTTGTTTCTGTCTGCCTTTCTGCCTTCCCTTTCCCTTTCCCTCTACCCTTTCCCCTTTATTTCGCAGGGGAAAGAGGACCTCAAAAAAATGTAAGGAGTTCACTGGTACCTCAATAGTATCAGATTCCATAAGCCAGTTTTCTAATCATTCTAAAATGTCATTTTAAAGTGTTAACTTCTATTAGTCTTCAATACTTCCCCTAAGTTTTAAAGTCAAAGCAAACAAAAATGGTCTCCTCATAATAAATTAAAATAGAAAGTAATAACTTAAGAATAATGTATTTGTGTACAAGTTACATTTATATTGCCAATTTCTAGACGAAAAACAAGTTTATTATAAAATGGAAGTAAGATTTCAGATGAGGCTTTTAATTTATGTAAATGAGGTAAAATCAATTGTGGAAAAACATTTTAAATGAAGTTCATTAACAGTGTGAATAAAACTCATTTGAGAAACCTAATATAGAGAAATATAGATTGTTCTTCTCTACTCCCCTTTCTCTCCCTATCACTGTACTTCTGTAGTTACTTCTAGTGCCAGGTCTAACAACCTTCAAAATAACTTGCTATACATATTTCAAAAGAGGACTGAGATGAGGAGGGCACAGCTCAGTAATAAGAGTGCTTGCTTAGCACCCACCATGCTGGGTTCAGTCCCCAGCACGGGGAGGAAGAAAACCTCAGAAAGAAGTCAACCTGGAAGACCTTCATGAAAACCCTAAGAAATATTTCCATAAATGCAAGAGGGAAGGGAGCTCTAGGTTAGCACAGGTAAAATTACCACGCCATAAACCCTCAGGTGCTTCTTTCTGCTTCATACAAGTGGCTCTGGGTCCTACTCTTCTTTTCCGTTTCACAGAGATAAAAACTGCAACAACGTTTGGTATCCCTCCCAGGAATATCTATATTTTAGCAGTGCTAAAAAAAGTTTTTAAAGTTCTAATCACTAAACATTTTTAAGATGTGTATGTGCACAGGCGCCCTCCAATTCCTTCACTCAATTAAGGAAGACAGGTCAAAAGGACTAACTTTTGTCTCCCATGAGTACATCTCTCTGAGTTGAATGCTTGTGTGGATGGTGACTAGACCATCTAGATGCAGAGGTCAGGTGGGCAGCCAGCCTGTCCAGACCACCACAGTATGCAACACACTGCGTTCTACATGAATGGCATCCCACAGCACAATGTGAAACACTGCAGCCCAGAGTTATGCAAGGTACCAGCCCTGCTTTTCCTAAGAACATGCTCTGAAAAGAAAATTCAAAGGGCAAGCAGGTAATCTTGAGAAGTAAAGACCTATCTATATTCCAGACTATGTATTTCCATATATCCCTGAACTAACAGAAGCAATTAATTCAATTACTGCCCATTAAGTCTGTACTCTCTCACTTGAAGATGAAGGGTCACTAAGCACCAAGAAGGCATTCTCAAATTCAAAAGAAGCCTGGCGTGGTGGCGCATGCCTGTAATCGCAGCACTCGGGAGGCTGAGGCAGGAGGATCACTGTGAGTTCAAGGCTACAACCTGGGCTACATAGTGAGTCCCAGTTCAGTCTCAACTACATAGTGAGACCCTGTCTCAAAAACCAAAAAAAAGAAAAAAAAATGAAAAAGAAAAAGAAAAGGCGTATTTAAGCCTTCATCACTTTAACCTTCAAAACAAGGGAAAAAAGTCCAGCCAGAGGTGTGAAGCAATGTGCCAAGTAAATTTAAGATAGAAAACAAAACTGTTATTGTTTTTAATGCACCAATAAACTTCACAGGGGGAAAAAAAGAAAACAAAACCTTAGAAAACACAACTTTCGCAATCCCAAAGTTTTTTGGGTTTTGGGTTTTTTTTTGGGGGGGGTAACAGAGAATGGAGGCTGGAGATTTAGCTCAGTGGCAGAGTGGTGCCTGCCTGGCAAATGCAAGGTCCTGAGTTCAATCCCCAGTAACCACCCCCAACACACAGCGGAATTTTTTAATTGCAGTATGCTCAGACCATGGAATATTACACAGCAACAAAAAAACTGATAATGCAATACTGATAAATTTTACCAACATTATATTAAAAGGAAACAAAGATACTAGGAGTCTGCTCCATTTCCATGAACAGGAAAATCAAATCCTCAATGACACAGTATGAACAGGGATAACCTCTGGGAATGGGGCTACTGACTCAGGTGAGGCCCCAAAGAAGTCTTCTGGTTAACCTCAAGGCTTTAAAACAATCTATATAAGCAAGGAAATGTAAACAAAAATATTGTGATGGCTCTGAGTGTGAAAATAATATTGTGTTTATGTTTAAAAACAGTCCTCAGCTTTTACAGATAAATGAAATATTTCTAGATCAAATAATGTATGCGACTTGCTTTAAAATAACCCACAAGGTTAAACAAGTGGAAAGAAGTACATAGGGGCCAAGAGTTGATAAATGGCCGCGTATGGTGGCACACGCCAGTAATTCCAGCACTCAGGAGGCTGAGGCAAGAGGAGAATCGCCAATTACACAGTGAGTTTAAGTCTAGCCTGAGTAGCAAGTCCCTATCACAAAAAACTAAAACAACAAAACACAACCTAAAAAACTGATAAATGAAGTATTGTAAGTGCATGGAGGTTTCACTACCCTCCTTCCCACCCTCCCTTCAGTATGATGAATTAAACGCAGAGCCTCTGCACTGAGCTATATATACAATCCTTTTTTATTTTGAGATAGGATCACTAATTGCCCCAGGCTTTTTAGCCTGTTATCCTCATGCCTCAGCCTTCCAAAGTGCTGAGATTACAGGCATGCACGATGATGCCCAGCTCGTACCTTCTTACACATCCGCAGTAATGAAGCTTTACATGAATCAGATACACAAAAGACACGTCCAGAATTTAGAAAAGTATTTGGTACACAGTAGGCAATAAACATTTTTTGTAAAGATGAATGAAAGTTTGTTTACAAATATGTAGTAAAGAAAATGCATAGAGCTGAGTGTGATGGCACAGGCCTGTAATCTCAGCTACTATGGAGACCCAAGTAGGAAGAGCTAAAGTTCAATGCTAGACTAGGCAACTTGGCAAGACTCTGTCTCAAAACAAAATACAGTGATATCTCCATTCATGAATTTGATTCTTCCACAACTCTAGTTGCAAATCAAGCTGGACAAGAACCAAACCAAATTCAATGGTTAAGTTCAATGTTGAAACTTATGTGAAACTTGATTCATTCTCAACCAGTTGAGTTTGTGATCAGCATGAAGTACAGAAATGAGTTCATGAACCAAGGCACCACTGTAATAATACCAGCACTATGGAAGACTGGGACAGGAGGACTGCAAGTGAAGCCCAGCCTGGACAATTTAGTAACTGACACCTTATCTCAAAACAAAAAATAAGAGACTAGAGGTGCAGCTCAGTGCAAAGGCCTTGGGTTCAATCCCTAGTACCTAAAAAAAGATTGCCAAGGATGTAACTCAGCATTCCTATGTTCAATCCCCAGTACAAAAAAAAAGGAAAAGATGTACAAAATGACAGTAATCAATGAGTTAAGAAAAGAGAATTGGGCCGGGTATGGTGGCACATGTCTATAATCCCAGCACTTGGGGAGACTGAAGCAGGTGGATCACTTCAAATTTGTGGCCAACCTGAAGTACATAGCAAAAACAAAAACAATTTATTAAATTATTTTAAAATAACAGAATTGGGTTTTTTATTTCCAATTTTTATAGGTATTTTGTGATTTTAGAAATTAGCTTAAAATATACTTTAAAAGATCAAAAGAATCCAAATTCATTTATACCATCAAATTTCAATCCTTTCATTCCCATTTAAAGTTTAACAAGTATCAGGTAAACACAAGCAAAACAATGCAAGAATAGTGAAGTCTATCTCACCAGCTTATTGTGTGAAGTGAAGTAATAATAATGAATAACTATGTGAGGGTCAAATTTGTCTATATTTTTAAATATTAGTATCCATACATCATTTTTACATACATGAAACATAAGATTTTTTACTAGAGAGCAATCTCAAGATTAAAGTTCTTCTCAGGCAATATTGCCAAAATTTTACTTTATCCTTAATCTGAAAGCTATCATTTGGCTTTTCTTTTTTCTCTACTATTTTTCTTTAAGCTGCTATTTCCTGATTCAGATCACCTGTTATTGAAGTTTATCGGTGTGGAAATAGAAAGCAGAAATACACTGAACCAAGGAGGTAAGACATAGGGCAATGACAGAGCTTTTCCAGGGCAATCTGAAAAACACAATCTTAAAACACCGACACTTCTTATAGACAATGGTTCACTGACCACTGCTTTACTCAAGTTTTATACCAATCCAGCCACCCATTTCCCGTTACATTAGCAGTTAATTTTTGAATATGAATTTTTTTTAGAGATAAATTACTCTGTGATTTTGTTTTTTAATTTTAAATTGAATTTATTGGTACATTCTAGGTAGACAGTACAGTTACATTCATTACTGGGATCTTGTACCTTTACATGCCACGTCTTGGTTCTCATTTTTTTCCCCTTGTTGTATATGAATCTTAAACCAAATTTATCTAACAAATAATACATAAAATAGACTGATTTAAATATTTGGAATATACAAAAACTTCAAAAATACAATGCTATCGCTAGTTCTGTTAGGCAGTAAGAAAAATTCATGCCTATGTAAATTACCACGAACTCTTAGTATAGAGATTGTAATGGATAAACCCGTAGTTTGGCTATATGTATTCACTTTCTACCTTTTTGCAGATTCAAAAGAGCAGCACAAGAAGTTGAATCTCTCAGAATGGCTTCCAGCCACTGGAATGAAACCACTACCTCTGTTTATCAGTACCTTGGTTTTCAAGTACAAAAAATTTACCCTTTCCATGATAACTGGAACACTGCCTGCTTTGTCATCCTGCTTTTATTTATATTCACTGTAGTATCTTTGGTGGTACTAGCTTTCCTGTATGAAGTGCTTAACTGCTGCTGCTGCGTAAAAAACAAAACTGTCAAAGACCTGAAAAGTGAACCTAACCCTCTTAGAAGTATGATGGACAACATCAGAAAACGTGATACTGAAGTGGTCTAGCCCTTGCCAGAACAGGAACAAAATTTTTAAAAGCAGACTTCAGCCTCTTATGAGAAAAAGAAAATTTCCTGAGGCCAACTGATACTACAAAGCTAATTCTGACTCTGAATGATTAAATGATCTCCAGTAGAAAACACAAGTGAAATATGTACTTTGTGTGTGTGTGTGTGTATATGTACCTTGCATTAAATATACAGTAAAACTTCATAAATGTGAATTTACCAATATATTTAATGACACTTCAAAAACTGGATAAAATTCCTAGTTCTCAATATTGAGCAGCAATATTACACATCCATTCTCTTAAGGACTAATATATCAAATGTAGAAAAGACTGCAAAACAAGTAAAAAAAAAAAGCTATTTATTAGAGGCAAAGAAACATGGCAGCTCTCCTGGGCATGGTGGTACATACCTATTACCCCACCTCCACAGGAGGGAGAGACAAGACAATCCCAAGTTTTAGGCCAGGCTAGACAAATTAGACTCTGTCTCAAAAGTTTTAAACAAATCCGGATACGTAGTTTGGTGTGAGGCTCTGAATTCAAGCCCTATTCTACAATTTTTTAATTTAAAAACAGAAGTGTGGAAGTTTTACTGAAATTCCAAGGGCTGTACAGATATTATTTTATCATATTAACACTGTTTTGCTATTACCCTGAGGCAAAGCAAAGCATGCTGGTAACCTCTACACTATCATTAGACCAGAAATGATACTCTTGGAAATGAAAAATTCATAATATAAAACTTTTAATAAAATTATAGATTGTTACAAATGTATATACATAAAAGTAAAGCCTGAAAACAAACAGGAAAAATTGGAACAGCTGACATGTTAAGAGAACTGTGCGGCACATGTGTAAGTGCCAAATAGATTCTCTGGTGTGAAAAACTGTAATAGTACATAAGATCCTAATGAGATAACTGACAATGTGAAATAGGAAGAAAAGGGCTAAAGATGTAGGGAAAGGGGGAAGGGTAGGGGAAAGGGAATAAGGGAAAAGAAAACAATAGGAGAAAATGAAAAAATGGAAATAAAGTGTTTGTAAATGGGGAGGGGAGGAGGGAGTAAAGGGAGGGCAGGGACAAGGCGAAAAAATGAGGACCAAGACCTGTCATGTAAAGGTACGAGATCCCAATAATGAATGTAACTGTACTGTATACCTAGAATGTACCAATAAACTCAATGAGGAAAAAAAAAGAAAAAAAGAGAGAACTGTGTGGGAGAAGAGAGCTCTAGGGATTGTACAAGACTCTACCTCTATTACTAATGAAATGGGTTTGGGGGGTTTTGTTATTGTTTTTGTGTTTTTAATGAGGTGGTAAAGAAAGGGGAACAGAGATTTTATTATTTTCAAAGGTCCATAATTAAATTCCAGCACTTGGGAGTCTAAGGCAGGAAGATCTCCACAAGTTCAAGGCCAGGTGGAGCTGTATAATGAGTTCAAGGCCTACCTGGAAGACACGAGACCATCTTAAAAAAAAAAAAAAAAATCTTTAATGGACTTCTGAAATCACTTTTTCACTAAGTACTTTTATATTTTTTCTAACAAACAAATGCAAACAATGTAACCAACTTTCAAATGACTTCTGAAACTTAAAATACATATACAAATACTCTGGTAACCAGGAGCTATTTGAACACTGTCAAAACCATACCTTCATGCTTCCTTTAGTAGCACATGTACTAAAATTGGAATGATACAGAGATTACCATGGCACCCGCACAAGGATGACACACAAATTGATGAATTGCTCCATATTTTTACTGTTTTAAGGGAAGAAACCACATCTTCATTAAGGGTGCGGCCCTTACCACAGATGGGTGCTTTAATAATTAAACTGTTTGCTTTAATAATTAAACTGTTTGATAATGTATACTATCAACTTCTCCTCACCCTATTCTGTATTTGGCCATTCAATAAATATTGAGTGCTTACTCCCTGTGAAAGAGTAAGTCAGATACCAAGGGTACAATGGCTAACAGGTAATCATGCTATTACAACAGTGCTTCACAGGAGCTTTGTCAGTGGGTGTTAAGTGCGATGAGAACCTAAAGGTTAAGCATCGAATCCAGGCTGAAGAACGAGAGTGTAATATCCTTTATCCATGGTTGTGCTCTCTGTTTTCAATTGCCTATGATTCTAAAAGATTAAATGAAAAATACCAAGAATAAACAATTTGTAAGTTTTGAACGGCCCACTGTGCTGCGTAACATAATAAAATCTCGGTGTCCTGCTCTGTCCATGTCAGGTCAAGGATCTAGCTCACAATTTGGTTTATCAACACTGTGTTGTCACTCAGTAGCTGTCTAGGTTGAGATAACTATGTCATTACAATACATGTGTTCCAGTAACCTTAGGTCATAGCTTAACACTATTTCACAGTGCCTACATCATTCACCTCACTTCATGTCAACTCACCACACAGGTATTGTAAGATTTCATATCATCACAAGAGTGTAGTACAATAAGATATTGGGAGAAAGTTAGAGACCACATTCACATAACTTACAGGAGCATACTGTTGTGTATTACTACTGTAGTTGTTAATCTCTCATCGCGCCTAATTCATACACTGTATCATAGGTAAGAGTAGGAAAAAACAGGGCTGGGGATTTAGCTGAGTGATGTTGCACCTACCTTACAAGTAAAAAGTCCTGAGTTCAATCCCCAGCACTGAAGGGGAAGAGAAGGAAAAAACAAATTATATATAGGGTTCAATACTATCCAGTTTCAGGCATCCACTGTGGGTCTTGAAACACAGCGTCCAAGGATAAAGGGGTCACTAGTGTATTAAGACTTTTAATCTGAACAAAAGTTAGCCACAGAAGAGGAGGAGGGATAAAAAGAAAAAGGAAGATCCCAGAAGAGGAAATAATATGAGCAAAAGCCAAGAGATAAAAGAGTAAAGCACATTACAGAAGTGACAAATACTGTACCGCTAAGACAAAGAACAAGAACAGCGAGTCAAGGAGAGGAGGGATGCAGTAGGGCATGTAGGCTGCAGACAGACTATCCAAAAAACAATGGGAGCTTAAGCAGAGTGTGACGATCAGATTAGAAAAATATCACTGACTGCTGAATGACAAACGAACATGAAAGATGCTAAACCAGGATAATGTATGAGACGGCGTGGCAAAGCTGGTTGGGGAAATAAACAGGACCTGTCCATTACAAGATCCCAGGACCCCATACGTGAAATATCTCGTGGGCTATGAGATGTGGACAGCATGAAAGAGATGAACGCCAGGAGGAGTCCACTATTGTAACTCTTCCAGAAAACACACCCTGCCTCCTAGATACAGGGTGAACTTTTATCTTTGCTTTTATCCTTTCTTCTCTTTGTTCAGCCCAAGTTCGCTCTACAGAGCTAGTTCTTTCCTTGCCCCTTCATCCCTCACTTTTCAAATAAACTTTTGCCACCGTTTTTGGCTTGTCTCATCCAATTCTTAATTCAAGGCAAGGAGAACCTGGAATACTGATGGGCAAGCCATTTCTAAAGGAACTACCCAACAACAAGGAGACCTGCTAAGAAGCTAGCCCAGAAAACCAATGACAGTGACCTGAGCTTGGGTGATGCAATAGTTCTTTGTGTTTACAGCCAGTATTTCCAGCCCTTCTCCTGTTAAGCACAAGGAAGATGACACTTAGAAACCCCTTTCAGTAGTCTACGGCCTTGCCAATAACTTTCACCAGGAAGTGATGCATGTTGCCTCTGGAACACAGCATTTAATTGCCTGTATAAGATCTTCCAGAGTTCTTTTCAACTTTGGCAGAGAAACCCAAAACATCTGAGATTCCTACTCTGTCAGCCTCAGTCCCTGAGTAACTATAAGGACCTGACCCCTACCAACCCACAATAAACAGCTGTGAAAGCAAAGAGACTTTAGGATTGTCACAACAGACTTTATCCTATCGTTTAAAGGAATAACCCTGAGCAATTAAAGTCTTTTACAATCACTTCCTGCTGTCAGATGGAATCTGTGCAGAAGATGAAATTCCTTACTCATTACATATAAGCAAAACTATTTTTTAAAAAAATATATATATTCTTGAGGGCTGGGATTCAGCTCAGTGGTACCAAACCTGCCTCACAAAGGCAGGTCCTGAGTTCCATCCTCCGCACACACACACAAAAAAGACATTCTTGGGCAGATCAAAGAGACTAAGCCTAAGAGTGGCTTTGTGTTACTGTTTAAAATAATTTCAGCCAGGTGTAGTGGTAAACACTTGTAATCCCAGCACTCAAGAGGCTGAGGCAAGAAGACTGCCACATGCTCAAGGCCAACGTCGGCTACATAGAAAGTTCAAGGTCAGCCTAAACTAAACTGTAAGACCCTGTCTCAAGAAACAAAAATAGTTTTTAAAATTTTGATGAGATAATTCAATGTAAATTTCTTTGGAATAAAAGACAAAACTAATGCATAATGATAGGACTATTATGATAAATTAGCTTTAACAAGCATTATTAAAGTAGCTTGAAGGACACCTAACAAGATGACAGCAATAATAAAAAGATTACAACTGGTACGTTTTAAGGTATCTAAATAATTCTGGTTAGGAATTATGGTGCTCTGGCCTTGTTAGTAAAAAGATTATAACATAAATCAGCCTGGTGGCACACATATGTAATCCCAGAATTTAAGGGGCTGAGACAGGAGGACTGCCGTGAATTCAGGCCAGCCTGAGCTATAGCAAGAACCTGTCTCAAAAAATAACAAAATAGGGCCAGGGGTGTGGCTCAGCTGCACTGTGCGGTGCTGGCAAGTAAAAGGTCCTGAATCCAGTCCCTGGTACAAGGATAGGACAGGATAGGACAGGATAGGATAGGACAGGACAGGAAAAGAACCTAAAAAAATAAAATAGATGATAGTTTATGGGTAAACTAAATCCAAAGTAAACAAAAGGAAGAAAAGTACTGAAGTAGAACTAAATGAAATTTAAAAAATAAAAACCAATGAAAAGTTTATTTGAAAAGATCAACAAAATTGTCAAACCAAGACTAACAAAGAAATAAACAAAAAATCATGAATTCTTAAAATCAGAAACAGGGTATCACAACTGACCCTAGAGCAATCAAAAGGATTGTTGAGAATATTGTGAAATTTTATCCATTTCATTATCTGCATTGTCTAAACTGAAAAGATACAAAGTACCAAAATTAACTCAAGAAATAAAAGAAAATTTGAAAACACCTACTAAAAGCTATCCTATAGATCTATCCAACAAGGAACGCTCAGACCCAAATGGCTGCACTAGTAACTTCTCCCAAGTGTTTATTTTTTTGTTTCTTTAATTTCCTAGTTTTTTGAGACAGGTTCTCGCTATGCAGTCTAGGTTGGCCTCCAACCTGTGGCAATCCTCCAGCCTCAACCTCCTGAGTGCTGGGATTACTGGCATGTACCACATGTTCAGTTCCCAAATGTTCTTTGAAAGAAACAATAACCTTCATAAACTCTTTTAGAAAATAAGGGGAAAGTGAATACTTTATAAATCATATCAGAAGGACAGAATTACCTTGATAAGGTCACAAAGAAAACAAAGGTAGAGACTATATCTTTCATGAATAGAAATGCCAAAACTGGACAAAATAATAGCAAACTGATATTGCAACAAATATAAAGATTATACATCAGGACCAAGTAGGATTTACACCAGAACACAAGGCTGATTTAAAGACTGAAAGTCAATTAATATTAATACATGATACTGACAAAGGGCAAGCACAACATCATCTCTTCTGATACCAAAAAAGCATGGCAAATCAAGTGTCCATTTATGACTAAAACTCCCAACACATGAGAACTACAAGGGGACTTCTTCAACCTCACACAGGGTATTTACAGAAACCGGCAGTGACATCATATACATTGGCAAAGACAGTATTACTTTCTCTCTGAGAAATCAGGAAAAAGACAAAGATATTCACTACTGCTACTTTTAGTCTACTGAATACAGCCAGACCAGACAGACAAGAAAAAGAAAAGGCACCTACTCTGAAAGGAAGAAATAAAAATTGATCTTATTCATGTACCACAACATCTTGATGTAGAATATCCTAAAGAATCCACAAAAAAAACCTACTAGAAACAAAATGAGTTCAACAAAGTTGCAGAATACTGTATCAGTACATAAAATTTACTGTTATTTCTATATACTAGCAAAGAACAAGTAAAAAACATTAAAACAATTTCATTCACAATATATCAAAAAGAATAAGATTCTGGGCCAGAGATTTAGCTCAGTGGTGCCACCACTGCCTCACAAGTAAAAGGTCCTGAGTTCGATCCCTCATAGCAAAAAAAAAAAAAA